TCCACTCGCACGTTTTCCTCTTTGAACCAATTCCATATGCATCACTGAAATACTCACACAGATAGTCTCAAATACTCACTGCATATATTTCCATTACTCAGAAGCATCATCTACAATCACCAAAAACTAGGAGCGGATGTACCGTTGCAGGTACGGGTTCAATTGAAGCCATAACTTTCGACACAGAGCATAAATTTATGTGTAAAAATTTACTAGAATAGCAATAAATAATAGACATGAACTCATAACTTCAAAATTATAATGTTTTTAATGCTAAAAACCTAAAAATTGAACCCATAGAATTTAAATCTTGGATCCACCTCTACCAAAGACCACCAGTGACATAAGCTTCCTTCTTTCAAAAACCCACGGGACATCAATCTTCAACAGAGAGCCACAAAAACCACCAAGCCTCCGCCCTCTTCTTGATTAAACTTCGGTTTTTTGGTTCAACGGAAAAACAGTACCCTTGAAACCGACGCCGAACCGAAGTTATAAAAAAAATTAAACGTTAACCGAAAATAAACCGAAAAACCAAAATTTCAGTTCGGCCGGTTCTTTTAGTTTTTTCTGGTTATATGCCCATCCCTAGTTCCCAAGGAGTAGACAGATCGGTTACCTTGCTTTTTGCATAAGTAGGCACATTGGTGTTGCAAACACACACGTACATACATCTTTCGAATGAAAACACAATTGCAGACAAACTTTTTAGATGGATATTCTTTTCCTGACAGGATAATCTACTAACGACAGCCCATGTGGACCAACCCCCCCCCCCCCCCCCCCCCCCCCCCCCCTCTCTAGGTCTATCTCTAAGCACATTGGATAGAACCTAGTGCCAAGCCAAAAGGTTAGCAATATTCCCTGCTTCCCAAAAGAGAAAATTCCCACCCCATTCCTCTAGCATATCTTTTCCTCCTTTTCCCTATTCTTCTCCATTTAGGCCTATAATTTTAATGAGTGTGAAATATCCCTTTTAAATTCTACTTTGCACTTAGTTGTAGTTTTTATGTTAGTTATTATAAGCCAAAATGCAAATTCATAAGCAATCCAGAAAGCATCAAGGTTGTAAGCCAACATGATTGAAGTGCGTTGTCCAGCAATATCACCTTTAACGTGTTTGTCTATAGCAANACACACACGCACACAAAAAAGCCTGATTTCAGCACTAAGCAGATGAATGATTAATCAGTAGAATTAGAACCATCCTAGACTACAAAATAGATATGCCTAAATGAGAACTCACATTTTTTCGTGCATTTTCAAATTTCACATCGTTGCTCTCTTATTTTTCTAAAAAGAAAAATCTGATATACAGAAAATAGAATAAACTAAAAAGATATAGGAAAAAGCTATATTGTAAAAAAAGATTATCACAACAGAAAAAAAGAGAGAATAATTCATATTGAGATAGTAAGCATTGTCGGAAAAAGATTAAAACTTACAGCTGGATTTCGCCGGAGAAAGAGATGGAAAGAGTATCAAGTGTCGACTTGCGGGAGAAGAAATGCTTGGTGTTATTTGAGAATGGGCTAAGAAATTGGGGCTGACTTTGAGAGTTTTGAGTCCAATTTTTGCTGTCTATCTAAGGAGATTTGGGCTTATGAGTTTGCAATCCATAGCACCAAATCAGCCCATAAATTAGGGATCTTTACACAAATAGCCAGAGAAATTCACTATTTACTTTTTCTAACCGGTATACATAGATTGTACTCTAATATAATATAATATAATATAATATAATATATATATAATATATATTTATTTATTATCTATATTTAGTTTAATTGATTAGGTAGTCGGCTATTTAGGTTAATTCTTCGATAAATTAAGGAATCTCGAAACTATATCCGATCTTTGTGTTTGAGAGAGTTGTGATCATCACTTTGTGCATTAAAAGTTGGTTTAGAAAGTTTTATTACTTAACGTACTAGTAGTCTATTTACATGTGTCCATAATTATTTGTTGTTCTAATGCAATGTTCGATAACATTATATACATGTGTATGTGTTATAAAATGTACAAAAAATGTCCGGAAAAATTACAAGGGAGTGGAGTAGACTTAACAAGGCAACGGTGTAGAGTTTGAACTTTTGATCGGAGAGCTCATTGGGTAAACCAATTGCGAATTAATTGGCTATCTAACACACTTGAAAGTAGAAGTGCTTGCTTTATAAAATAGTCACACTTGGCTTGAGTTGCACTCCCTTAAATAGGTACCAAACAAGGGGCAAGTGCATAGTTAGCCATTTTCATGGATGCTATTTATATATTAGCCACTATTTATTTTGTCCTGAAATTTTTAACTTAAAAATCTTAATTTCAAGACATTTTTGTCTCGAAAATTTGAACTGAAAAACTAAAATTCAGGATACACTGGCTAATTCCTAAATAGCAACCCCTTAAAGTGACTACCTAGTGGCATTTCTACGATAACTGATACAAAGGATTTTTAGCTTGCTATACTATAATAGAAACATATTTATCACCTTTATTTAGGTTCCTTATTAATTAATTTGTATATCTATATTTACAAGTTATATACAAAATCATTAAAAAGAAAAAAATTCAAGATCCTTAATTTAGCTTGTGAGTTACACGACACCCCCTCCCCTCCCCCAATTTTCGCTTCTTTTCCTTTCCAAAGTTTTTCAAATTCAGTTTCTCTCTTTCTTGCTACTTACCCAAAATCACTATTTCTTTTTGAACAATGCAGAAGAAATTCGGAATATTGCTCTAGAATCAAGCTGTGAGTAAGTTTTGAATCTTGTTTTCTTTCTTTCTAAAATCTTTATCGTATGTGACTTGTATATGATACATCAATACCCAAAACAATATGCGATACAGTACTAATACAATTATATTAGATTTTTAATGTAGAGTTATGACTGAAACTTGAATAAGATGAAGATCATAATTGTATCACAGTTTTTCAGAAATGTATCGCGATTGTATTATAATTGTATATGTATCATAATTGTTGCATGAATTATATTACAAATGTATGATAATTGTATATTGTTACGAGCAGTTGTGAGTTCATGACGAATTTCACAGTTTGTATCACAAATATATGATAATTGTATAGTAATTTGTTAGTATTGTATCATGTATTATTTTTAGTATTAATGTACTAGATACAAGTATGATATATTATGTTTTAGGTATTGATGTATCTGACACAATTATCATATAATTCCTGAATATTTTTTCATTTTCAGTGTTGTCCAGTATCCCAACAAAAGAATGATACAATTAATAATTTTTTAATAATATAAAGTTGTTGGCAATGGTAGGAACAGAGAAGATGGAGATTCTGGGTGTAGATTGAGGGATTTTGATGTAAAGAAAATGAGAGAGAAGAGGAGAGGGAAAAAAAGGAAAGGATGTAATCGGATCCCTTAATTGAAGACACATATAATGGGGTGGGAGCTTTTTAAGGAGCAATGTATATAATTTGTAAGCAAAAATCTAGATACTTATTAAAAACTACAAAACATAGGAAATATAAATAAATAAATTTCTAATAAAGTATAGCTAGGTAAAAATCCACTAATACAAAAAGGAACGACTGCTCAAGAGAGGTCCAACAGAAAACGGCCTGACCTTATAGTGTGAGTGACCCAATTAGCTAAAGGGAAATTTTCGTTCATATACCATGTAGGAAACTATATTACCAAATATGTTCAAAGTTTGCATATTACCCTTCATGTTAATAGTATTTCTACATAATATATACAATGCATTAAATAAGGAATCATTATAGCTGTAGGATTCCTTATTTAGGTGAGCTAAAAAGGGGGAATTAAATATTTTTCAAATCTTCCAACGCAAATCACGCACAGTAATCACTATCGTCTACTTCGTTACAAACTTCCAGTACTCTGTTTTTTGCGCTAAGCTCTGTTTCAACATTTTCTCTGATTTTGCCGATTTCACAAATAAAAATCGACAAAATCTTCTACAATTCTTCTGCAACAAAAGCAATTATGGTGAAAATACCAATTATGCTACAACTGAATGAGAATTGGGATAGCTACGGGAGATTTAGAGAATTTGAGGTCGATGGCATTATAGCCGATGACGATGCGACTTATAGTTTATTGATTTCTACAATAGCACAGCAATTAATGATTGATACATCCGAAAAAATTATAGAAATCAAATACATTGTCAACGAGCATTGTCCTCCAATGGAAATTAGTAACGATATGGATGTTCGTGTATAGATGGAGACGAAAAAGGAAAACAAAAACTTAGGATTATATCCACTATGTATAATTGTTCGCAATTTCAATATGGAATTGAGTATCACCAATGAGTATCTACAAAATTTCTACATTTATTCTGCATTAAAACTACAAAATATGTGAAAAATTAATATGAAATACTGAATTTCAACCTTTCTATAAATTATCTACAAATTTTCTACAAACTGGTGATAACAATATTTATATTTATTTTCATGCAGATTCATCTGGAATACTAACGTTACTTGATATGCCAACATCTCCCGTTATAGAGGAATATGAAAGTATAATAATAACAGATAGTACACCAAGTTCTATTGAAGTAGGACAAGTATACCAAGACAAGGAAACAATTGCAACTGCAATGAAGCACTATTCTGTCATGCACAAGTTCCAATTCAGGGTTAAAAGATCTAGTGCTAGAAGGTATGAACATATGAATAGTCAAATATTATTATTTTTTTAATTTTGTAGTTTATTTATAATTTTTTACTTCTTCAGTTTTCCTTGTGATAATGTTTAGCAAAATTATAGTTATATTGTATTTATTATTGTATAATGTGATTGTTTAAGCTAAAATAATTTTTTTTAATCTAAATTTTAACCCATTGTTTAAAATATATTTTTTTTTGTAGCTACTGGTTGATATGTGTTGGTGAAAACTGTACATGACACTTCAAGGCAACTAGCATAAATGATTCTGCAATGTTCAAGGTCAGAAATTTCGACAAACAACACACATGCTCTTTAATGGACAATACATTCATACAACGCAAACCTACTGCCATAATAGTTGGTAGCATGGTTATTCCAAAATATTCTGATCCTAAGAAAATTTACACCCCAAAAGACATTCAATTTGACATATTGTCTGAACTCGACGTGAATCTAACCTACATGCAAGCCTGGAGAGCAATGAAAAAGGCTTTACAGCTTTTGAGAGATCAACCTGCTGACTCCTACAGTAAATTGCCTAGTTATTTAATTTATTTGTATATTCTAGAGAAAACTTATCTGGGGTTTGTAGTTAAATTGAAGAAGACAGACGATGACTGTTTCTTGTATGTATTTGTTGTGATTTGTACGTCAATCAGTGGTTGGAAATATTGTAGGCCAATTGTAGTAGTTGATGGGATATTTTTAAAGTCAGCGTATAGGGGAATAATGCTAATAGCCAGTACAATAGATGCAGCAGGTACTGAAGTTTTATTAGTAGAAATATTGTAGCTTGTATTCTTTTTTAGTACTTGCATATTAATTGTAGATATATTGTAGAATAATTGTAGTTTGTATATATATGTCTTCTTCTGCATTTTTGTTGTAGCCAATTAATTGCTTATTGCCATATAATGTAGGTACCATATTACCATTGACATATGCTGTTGTTGATTCAGAGAATGACGCATCATGGAAGTGGTTTTTTGAGCAATTCAAGCTCGCGTATGGTGAAAGAGCAAACATGTGTGTTGTTTCGGATCGGAATAAGAGTATCTTGAAGGCAACATCTATTGTTTATCCCGGCATGCCACATCATTCATACATGTGGCATATCTGGACAAATATATGGGCAAAGTTCAAGAAGGGACATCTTAAGCTAAGTGAATTATACTTTGCCACGGTGCGGTCATACACACTTGATGAATTTAATGAAAGGATGTCAAAGATTGAGGAGATTGTCCCCCGTGTTAAAGCATACTTATACGATATTGGATATTATAGATGGTCTCGAGTACATGCAACGGTGAACAGAACTTGGACTATGACATCAAACATCGCAGAGTCGTTGAATGTTATAACAAAATATGCAAGAGAGTTGCCGATAGTAGAATTATTAAAGTATATGAGGACCCTTCTTGAACGTTGGACGAAAGTAAAATTATTGAAAGCAAAGGGTACATTCATATACACTGGATATAAATTCAACAAAAGAGTTGGATGACAACATAACATTGTCGCACAAGCTTAGAGTAAGATCTGATTATTTATTGAATCAAATTCATAAACAGCACAATGTAGTTTTTTTATTGATATTTTGTAGATATTTTGTATATAGCTTGATTTTAACCATATATGAATTGTTTTTTGTTTGTAATGTACTCGTAGGTAAGGGCTTCAACAGACTACATCCATACAGTAATAGATGGTATGAGGTGCTATATTATTTGTCTTGAAATAAGAAATGTAGTTGAGCAATTCCAGCTTGATGAACTACCTTGTTCGCATGCTTTGGCTGCTTTAAGACAAATGGATTAGTCCTTTGAAGAATATTGTTCTCCTTATTACACAAAGGTGAACCTCTTGCGTACGTATGAAATATCAGTAAATCTGCTGCCTGATGAAAGCAAATGGAATGTGCCACAACATATAACTAAAGAAGTAGTAAATCCATCCAAATGAGGGAAAAGGCAGCCAGGAAGACCTCAGAAAGAAAGATACAAAACATATGATGAAATAAATTCAAAGAAGTACAAGGTTTCATCGGCAACTGCGGAGGAGAAGGGCATAACAAAAGATCTTGCAAGAATGCACCCAAAATGAAATAAAATTCTATGTAGTTAACAGAATATTTGATGAAAATTTGTTGGTTAGTTTTGGATAACAGATGTTGATGTGTAATAGTTGTTTTTTTAAATATCATAATGTAGTTAGTTATGATGTTTCTATAATGAGATAATACTTTCTTATATTGATTTGTTTATGAATGTTTTCTCTCTATATATATATATATATATAATCTATAACTTTTTTACTATATATGCAATACTTTACATAGTTGCTAATGTATTTTAACAGTTTATCTACAATAAAACTACTAAAAAATACATTATCGGGAATTTACAGAGTATATACATTATAAACCTGTAGGAAAGTAGTTAAAAACCAAGTCATAATGTAGATGAAGTATTGTTTACATTCAACAAAATAAATATAAAAGAAACAAAACACACTGTTATAATAATCTACAGAATATCTACAAATACAACTACAAAAAAACTACAAAATATCTGTAGCTGACGTAATATATAGATTAAAATTCTGGTAGAAAGAAGCTTTATGGTGGAAATAATGTAGATCAAAATAACTGTATAAAATTTCAGTTGGAAATGATTTAAATGCTAAAAATAATGAAGATCAAGTACTGTAAAGATTCAACAAGTGAATATAAACCCAACAGAATGTTTTCATTTGAACTACAATACTGGATAAAAAAAAAATAAAGGCTACTATAATTGTAGCACAAGTGTGCTACAATTAAAACATACTAAAATGTTCAAAAAATTGTCTATCATCTTTCTTATAAACTAGCATCAACTACACAATTGTACTACATGTTCCATTCAAAAGATTACAACTACTTCTTCTTCCTCTGGACTCGTGTTTTCTCATTCAAAGCTGGTGCACATTTCCTCCTTGCCAATTTGCCTGTCACCTCACTATCACTAATTGCCCCAAGCTCCTGCTTCTTTCTAGCATAGTCCCAAAGTAGCGCTCCATAGCGTTTACGGTGTTGGTCAATATCAGAAAGGTCTTCTGGGGGAATTGATAATTCTCCAATACTAACATACTCTGCAACGGCAGCAACAAATACATCACAATCTCTGCAAAAAGATAACAAAATGTCAATATTTACCAAACCATCAGGAAAAAAAATGGTTAAATGTATAAAAAAAAAAGAAGAATTTTGTTACAGTGATCCTTCTTTTTGCTGTGGTATCTCTCCGACTATCCACTGAATGTTAAGAGGTTCGGTAACAACTTTCTCAATGTATGCTTTTGTATTCTTGAAGTTGATATCTTTCCGCTCCCCATAAAACCCGGTGCATGACAAATACAAAGGGATAATAATAGAAAACTTGTCGACACAAGATTCAACAATAGGATGATTACGTGAAGAGACCATGGAATCATTCGCATAAAGACACCTTTCTGCAATGTCAAAAACAACCAACACCCAGTGGAATTTTTCTACAATGTTGACGTGTATGATGACATAATCAACTTCATCTCATGCAACATTTGCGAGTAGTCTATACCCCAATATATATTCTGCTACAACATCCTGGGGTTCGACTACAGAAAACTTCTTTTCTTGAGGAGAATTTTTGAACTTTTCATAAATCTGATCAATCCTAATCTTGAAAACACAATCTGTTGTAGTAAATCTGGTGTTGTTTTGGGGGCCATACTTGCCTCTTTTTCTCAAGTAATACATTATAACATTAATGTGCTGCAATAAAAAACAGATTGCATTTATACTACATGTTATCTCAAAAAATTCTACACAAAACTACAAACTATCTACAATACATCTACAATCAGAATACAAAGCATCTATTCATTCAGAAAATACAAAGTATCTACAATTTATCTACAAAAAAAAACTACAAATTAAATCCATTGAATATTACTGAGTCGTTAATGACTTGTCCTGGGTGTGCAAGGGAAAAGAACCACTCTTTCTTGTCAACCTTTTCAACTCCAAGATCCAACTATGACTTAATTTGATTGTCCTTTATAGAATACGGAGCCTTCCTCCTATATAAACTAATAGAAATTAAAATAAAATTATTGAATGAAGTGGATGTGTAAAAGATGAATACAGGAATATAAGTGTCAAATTGTGCAACCTAACCTCTTTGAACGTGTATCGGTACCGTTGTATAACCACTTGTGGAATTGATCCAATAACTCACGGTCTACATTTTGACCAATAACACTAGTAAACGGGTGCTTGAGGTGGAATATTAGAGGTCCAACCGAGGTACTACCACCAGAAGAATATAAAGGGAGAAATGGTGATCGGGCATGCTTTCCCGACTGCCTTGTTCTACCTTGATGCATGGGTGTTGTTTCATCTTGTATAGGCTCGCCGAACTTAACCAACTGGGTGAAGTTATCAGGCAGCTCGAAATCATCAAGCGTAACCTCCTTCTTCTCACCTCCGGATTCTTCTGAATCACCTACATTCACAAACTTTGCCTCTTCACCTACATTGTCATCTTCCGGGTACTGCTGTTCTGTTTGAGCTGCTACTGTCACTCCATGAATTGGAGATTGTGCATGCAGATCTTCCCTCTCTGAAACACCATGTATATATAACTTAATAGAATGGTAAAAATATTGAAACAAAAAGAAAATATCTCTGAAAATAATTTCAAACCTGCATTCTCTTCATCAACAGCCCCTTCAAAATGTGTATATAAATCAACACGTGCTGGATGATTTTCTTCACCATGCGCACATTCAACATGTTCTGTTTTTTTCATTAAAAATATTAAATAATACTGGATAGTATTGGCTTGACAATTTATGAAGATATGAAGGTGTGTCATAATATGTACATAAATCTGTATTGTTGTGTAAATAAGCTGGAATTAATTGTATATATTTTGTATATATAATGTAGACAAATTGTAGTTATGTTGCAGATATTTTGTAGTTATTTTGTAGATGTTGTGTATGTAATTGTAGATATATTGGAGATACCTGTTTTGCTGGGGCTGACCTGTACTGTTTCACCACTATTGAACTGAAATTGCTGATTGTTCTTGTCTTTTGGTTGGTCAGTATTTTTGGTTGAACTCCCAGCAAACTGTAAGTTTTATATTAGTTAGGATATATATTTTAGAGGTGACATAAATAGTTTTGTTAATATAATTAAGATTCAAATGTTACCTTTGCATCAACTTGATCATTTGGATTGTTTATCACCTGCAAAACAGTCTTGACTGATTCCTTTATTAGGTCTCGAAGGCTACCTAGTTCTTCAAATACATCTTCCCTAAGTTTTTCAAGCTTTTCATCGACCTACATAATAAAAAAAAATATAGTTACCTTTAGAAATATGTATTAAAATACAGATACACTATTATATAAAAATCAGAATGCTTTATTAGGACTACATGTTACCTTCTCAACACCTCTTTTTAACTTTTATTTTACGAAGAATAGACTCATTTTCCTCTTTTCTAATTGATTCTCTGGGTTCCAATGGAGGGGCATCAACTTTTGGATTCTCAGAAACATGTTCCACCTCTTCAATTGTGTACTCAACTTTATCAGGAAAAGACATCGTTGAAAGCTCTTCAGGTGATTCATTTATGTTGGTGAACTGAATGATGAAAGAAATAAATTAGCTTGTTTGAGGCAGAATATGTATACAAAATATAGATATTTTGTAGATATATTGTATTATAATGAATAAAGACCATTTACCTTCATCCATTCAGGCTTGATCATTTTGTCTTCAATTGCAGCTAACCAAATCTGACCCTTAGCAGCTGACCAGTTTAGTATGCGAGAGATTGAATTAGAAATCTTTGTAGCTATATCAATGTTGACGGAGGAGCAACACTCATACAACCATACTTGCATGGCTAGTGGGAATCCTCGAATAAGATAAGAATGAACGGAAGGATTTAGCATGTGCCTAACAGATTCAATCAGGTGTCTGTAAGACTGAACACCCCATGGAAATGACTCGTACTGACCGGATTCAACTAAATAAAACCTAAAATGATCTACCAACCCAATATGGTGACAAATGAAGTATTCTATGAGATATAGAATACATAACTTGATTGCATCCTTATTATTGACCCAACTTTTGGTTATTACTATCTGTTTTAGGTATGTTTTTTCCACTTTTACTTTATTTGAAAAGTAACTGCTCATTAACTTACTGACATAACTAGGAGTGTAACCAAAGTTTGTCACCTCAGTATGACATCTAAGACCAATTATTACTGCAAACTCTCTCAATCCAAAATTTAACCTCTTACCTTTTAACTCAGCTGAAAAATAGGAAGCATCAGATGATTTCAATTCATACTTCATAAGAAGATGAATAGCTTGATTTTGCATGCATAAATTGGGAAATGACAGTAAATAACCAAAGCATGTCTTCTTGAATAACTTCAAACCATTTGGAGATAAAAACGCTTTAATTTGGCTAGGAATGCTAGGGTCACATAATGTCTGGAATCTAAGCACCCTATAATCAACATTATGGGATGCAAAAAAATGTTCATTCTGCAAAATTCAACAAATGTAATCTAACATTAATACGGTAATTAAAAACCACTGATACATTTGTATGTTTCTACAAAATAACTTCAAAATTATACAATATAACAACAATGTTAAAATAGATCAACAAATCTACAATTAAACTATAAAATTAAGACAAATAATCTCACATTATTTCAGTACTTAAAAACATAGATACATATGCAATTTATATACAACATTTC